ATTTTACATGTATAGTATACTAATGTTTAATAAAGCACACATAATTAGCCTGACAGAGGGTAAAAAAAAAAAAAAAAGCATAAAGTCATGTGATTTACAACAGATAAAAATCTTATCGTTATCATAAAAAAAAAAAAGGTCCGAATTTCCTTAATCACCGAAAATGATATACTTTCATTCATTCCCCAGGACCCACGGTCGCTTACTTTCATTTCTTAAAATTCCAAATATACACAATTTTCGAAACTCACGAAATAATTGTCTTAGACGATTTGCTAGCGTAACAGATGCCAAAAATGCAACCAATGCCGAACCGGCAGATTTGGTAGTTTAAACGCGTCTTACTTGTTATATTGATGTTTGGAAATTAACCATTAAATACTTATTTGCTTTTTTTTTTTTTTTTTTTTTACAATGCTGTTTAATAGTTTCGTCTTCAAAGACTTCGTAACATTGGTATCAGTGCTCACATTGATTCAGGAAAGACTACGCTCACCGAGAGAATTCTATATTACACCGGAAGAATAAAGTCGGTATGATATTGTTAGGTTTTTTACCGGTGTCAAAGAATTCAAGAATTTTATTGAATTCGGAATTTCTCATTAATCAGAGCAATCCATGAGGTTCGGGGTAAAGATGGTGAAGGTGCCAAAATGGATAGCATGGAGCTAGAACGCGAACGAGGGATCACCATTCAGTCTGCGGCTACTTATTGCAAATGGAATTGGGACGGCCACGGGGATTATAGCATCAATATCATAGATACACCCGGTATGCTGTTACACCAAAGTTTCACGTTCTCAATTCATCGTTTCTTAACTATTTGATCCAACTTTCGGAAAAGGACATGTGGATTTCACCATTGAAGTAGAACGTGCCCTTAGAGTTCTTGATGGTGCCGTCCTAGTATTATGTGGTGTCTCTGGTGTTCAGGTGTGATGTTTTTTAAACTTTTGGAATGTAAAAATAAAAAATTTCAGCGCATTCATATCTATTTTTAGAGTCAAACAATTACCGTTGATCGTCAGATGCGTCGTTACGACGTCCCTCGTATATCGTTCATTAACAAATTGGATCGGTTAGGTTTATTGAATTTCTACTGTGTAAACCGATGTTAATTACCCCACGCGACTAACTGACGTCACACATCATTAGTATTGGTGCAAATCCTTTCGCGATCATTGAACAAATCAGACACAAATTAAGAATCACGGCAGCTGCAGTACAAATTCCTATTGGTCTCGAAGAAAATCTCAAGGGTATTGTTGATTTGATTAAATGGAAGGCAGTGTATAATGAAGGCGATCGAGGGTAATGAAGCTATGGAGATCATTTTTTGGATTATATTTATGAGTGTAAAATTTTTAATTAAAGCCATTTTATAGTGAAAAAGTAATCGAAAAAGAAATCCCCGATGATTTGATGGACTTGGCCGTAAAGAAACGTCAGGAATTGATTGAGAATTTGGCTGATGTGGATGACCAGATGGCCGAGATATTTTTGATGGAGGAGAATCCTACTTCCGAACAACTGATGGTGCGTTAGCGCTAGTTCTTATTTCCTGGCTTATTTTGTTATGCTTGGTATGGTCGAACTGATTTTCACCGAAAATAATACGATGACGAGGTTTAGGATGCTGTCCGACGTGCAACCATTGCAAACAAATTCACACCAGTCCTGATGGGATCTGCTTTTAAGAATACAGGGGTTCAAACTGTTCTTGATGCGGTCTGCGCGTTTTTACCTAACCCTACTGAAGTACATAACACAGCGCTTGATATAAGTCGCAACGAGGCCAAAGTTGATATCATTCCCTATTCAAAAAATCCCTTTGTTGGTTTGGCGTTTAAATTGGAAGATGGGAAATATGGTCAACTAACTTACGTCCGAGTTTATCAGGGTTCTCTCAAGAGAGGATCTTTTATAACGAATTCGAAGACCTCGAAGAGAGTTAAGGTTCCAAGGCTTGTTCGGATGCACTCCAATGAGATGGAGGTGACGTATAAATTCACTTTTCATGAATGTACGAATGGGCGCGAGCTAATTTGTTTTATTAATCAGGATGTTGATGAAGTTGGCGCAGGGGAAATATGTGCTCTGTTTGGCGTTGATTGCTCTTCGGGGGACACGTTTACCGACGGGACTCTAAACTACACATTAGTATGATATCATATCAATCAAGTATCTACAGACAGAGCATACCTAATTTTATTCATTTATTCATGTATAGACGTCCATGTTTGTCCCGGACCCAGTAATATCGTTGTCTATTGCACCAAAGGTGAAGGATTCCGCTAATTTTTCAAAGGCACTAAATAGGTTTCAAAGAGAGGACCCTACCTTCAGAGCTTCATATGATACGGAGAGTAAAGAAACGATTATATCCGGAATGGGTGAATTGCATTTGGACATTTACGTCGAGCGCATGAGAAGAGAATATAACGTCGATTGCGTTACCGGAAAGCCGCAGGTGGCTTTCCGAGAAACCATAACGGCTACGGCAAAATTCGATTATACACATAAGAAGCAAACGGGTGGTGCAGGACAGTATGGTAAAGTTACTGGGTACATTGAACCATTGGAGGAGGCGAGTGAAGGCGAAGAACAACTACCAGTTTTTGAAAGTCGAGTGGTGGGAGGACACATTCCACATAATTTTATTCCAGCCGTTGAAAAGGTGATTCTCGAATGCCTGTGATCACATACATACCAAGTGTGTTCCTCACGTATAAAAATAATTAGGGTTTTCTAGACGGATTGGAAAAAGGCACGTTAATTGGTCATCCTGTGAAGAATGTCAGATTTGTTCTGGAGGATGGCGCACATCACGCAGTCGATTCCTCTGAACTCGCATTTCGTCTTGCTGCACTATATGCATTTAGGGATGCGTTTCTAAGGGCGAAACCCGTGATCTTGGAGCCAATTATGAACGTATCCGCCACTGCTCCGCTTGAATTCCAAGGTACGGTAATAGGTAATTTGAATAAACGAAAGGGTGTCATTATCGACACAGAGGTACATGAGGATTATTTTATTGTGAATGCCGAAGTTTCTTTGAATAGTATGTTTGGCTATTCATCAGATTTGAGGAGCGCCACGCAGGTAACCTGTTTATTTATTCGAAGGAGGGAGGGCTCGTGACGACTAAGTGACCATGACATTATAATTTATTGTTCATGTTGAACACAAATAGGGCAAGGGAGAATTTTCCATGGAGTACAAGGATCATCGACCCGTATTGCCCAACATTCAGGAAGAGTTAATTAATGAATACAAGAAGAAAAAGGAAGCCGAGAAGAAATAAAATTGGTTTATGAAAAGAAATAAGAATTCAAAAGTTCAAATGGTTTAACAATTGCTGATTCATGTAATCATCGAAAATAAAGGAGCGCATCACCTTACTTGCATTTTTCTTATCATAAAAAACGGAAACCAACAATTCATAGCCCCATTTTTACCTATTATTGAAACATTGAAACGGGATGGGCTGTGTGCGATAATTTTTTAATCACCAAGTTTTCGTCTGTCTGGTCCAAAATAGGTTCCGATATATTGTCCTGCATAAATAACTTTATTGATCTTGATTAATGTGATAGCATCAACAATGCTTTAACAGGAATGGTGGACCAAATCGATCAATTACAGTCGGCCAATTGGCCATAGTTATGCTGAATATCAATGGTCCTATTTAGGCGATGCCTAAAATGTGAAACATTATAATAACAGTGGGATGCCAAAAATTGGTTTTCATAGATGAACAGAATCTAAATGCTAACTTTACTAATTCGCATGTATGAATGAGATTAATAAATGCCCAACTCATAATACATCCCCACCATTTTGGTGATCCTATCGTAAAAAAAAAATCGAATTCCTATATTTTGGTGTAACGAGTGGTTGGACAAGAGAGAAATCCTTTCCAAAGAGCTGTTTCGGAAATTGAGTCGCTTTTTCAATTGAACTAAATAAATTCAACCCAGCCTGTACGGGTACGGCTTATATGCCGCTGCCGAAGAAAGATAAAATACTCAGCCATTTAATAAGCCTTGCAAAAGTCATTTTCGGTGTCACGTGGAAATCACGTTATCAACGTATGGTGATACAGTGATAGTACCTAAATAAAAGTGTCGAATCCGCTTAGGCAAAGTTAAGATTTACACACACTATTTGTGCAACTTGGGCGTATTATAAATAAGCATAAAGAGTCATCCCTTAAAAAAAAAAATTTTTTTTCCCTTTAAAAAAACGACAAAAAGAAAACTCGCGCGAGTTCTTTTCTTGAAAACTTACTCACTCTTATCCCTCTGAAGTGTGAAATCCAACGTTCTTCGTTGTTTTTTATTTCAGAAGTTGGGGTCAAGATTTATGATATTCGTGATACTGCCTAAATTTGAAATTATTTTAAAGCATTTTAGATTTAGACATTCAAGCTTGTAAAAGAAAAAAAGTGTTGATAATTAAGTGTACAGAGTTAGTTTAATAACCAAGTTCGATATCAGTGTAAATAATAAAATAATAACTTGCCGTCACATTAAGGGTGGCTCCGGCTTCAATCTTTGTCAGAGGTAAATCGAGCTGCAGAATTTGATTCAATGTTCATTTTATTTTTTTTTTTTTACTTTTAACACTAAGACATCTACTAACATAAATTAACTTCTTCCTCTTCAACATTTTTAGTCAACATTCACCGTCATTCATAATGGAAAATAGTGAAATGAGTACTTATGTAAATCTGTCTTTTGGTGGAGAAATTGACGAACATATGGTAATGTCGGGAGAAATGGACATGCCCATGGCACATTATATAAATGAAGCCGAAAGGCATGACGGGCAATCGCTCGGAGGTTTAGGTGATGATAACGCAATAGAAAACGGGAATGGGTTTGCGGTTGAAGCGTATATACAATTTGATGATTTTGTTCATGCTTCTGATACTATGTCTGATGGTCAGCAAATGTTGTGGAATATCGGCACCACTTCAGACAATCAAATGGCTGCAGAGGGATGGGATCCATCCTCTCTTGCAATTCATGATTCTGTGCAAACAGCTCAAGAAAACAATCCTCAAACTGTCTTGATGAACCCTGATGCGGCTACGCAATTTCTTATCGATCCTGCTCTAGTGACGCAGCATCAACCACAACCCCCATCCCAGTCCCAATCTCAATCCCAGTCCCAAACTCGACCTCCACCCCCACCCCAACCGCCGGTGCAAACGCAACCAACGCAGCAAGGGCATTCTTACGGAACGAGGTTTGCAAACCAAATGCGTCCGACGCCCGGAATTCAACCTCGAACGAGAAAACAAAGACCTAAAAAGGGTCGAGGGGAGGCTGATGACGGGCCTTACTGTATATGTCGCGGTTCAACTTATGGAGTCATGGTTGAATGTGACTCGTGCAATGAGTGGCAAGTTTCAATTTCACTACTAATCATGAAGAATAAATTGTCTTCTGTAAATTTCTGGCCCAATACAAAAAAAAAAAAAAAAAAAAAAAAACATTCGTCGAACCCAATGCAACTTTCTCATTTTATATTGAATATTTTTAAATTGTGTTCTTAATATGCATATATATATATATAGGTTTCATTGTGATTGTGTGAATATCACGCCGCAGCAGGCGCAAGAAGTGGACACGTACCATTGTCCTAAATGCCAAGTAGAAAATCCTGCGCTCATTGGTTTAATGAAAGGTGTGTTTCGCTTGCATCACAGAGTCGAGCTTCTTTCTTTTCTTCTTTCTATTATCACAATTGTAATACGTGATTTCGGTGACACAAGGATTGACAAAACCGATGACATCACACTCGAGGATCAAATTTAAAATACTCAATGCCTTCGCCCCTTCGCTACGATAAATTAGTCATTCGTAAGAGAAAGGATGCCCGAAGGAATGAATTGGAAACAAATTTGCTAACAATGATGTTCAATCTATCGAATTAACAGATGATCGTCCAATGGCAGAAGCAACCGGAATAGATCCGAAGGCGTTATTAATCGAAGAATCTTCTAATGTTGTAAGTGGTTTGGGCATTCGATTTTTTGTGAGCTTCGATTTGCGTTGAATGTAAACTCGTACTGACAAATTTTTCGCGTTAACCCAAATTCACATCGGGGACAGCCGAAACAGATTGCCAAATGTTCGTTCAAGGATTGCTCGAATCCAGCTCGTGAGAATAATCCATATTGTAGTGACGGTTGTTCTTTGCACAGCCAAATACTAGAAATCAAAAAGACGAAGGGACCGGAATCAATTCAATCGAAGTCTTCACCTCCTACCACAACCGAATCAAAAAAATCGCAGCGTCCGTCACTTCTTCAAAAACCTACCCAATTAAATGGCTCAAATAAAACCGCACCACCGATCATCAAACCTGGCGCAATGAATAATAGACTACTTACGGCTACCGGCCAAAATCCTGCGATAAATAAACTACCGTCACCTCAACTGAGAAAGATACCCGTTCCTCCGCGAAAAACTTCCTCCGGAAATTCCAACGATTCTACCGCCAAGGTTCGTAATCTTTGCATGGAAAAGTTTCACAATCTGTTTACCAAGAAGTACATGGAATTGGAGAAGAAGGCTGAATTACCCGATTCACAAGAAGGACCCGAACAGCTCGCTCATCGCTTGGCGAAACGTATTGAGGAATCCATTTACGATAATTTTGCTTCAAAGACCGAACGCGACGGTTTGGGTCAATCGTATAAATCAAAATTTAGAAACCTCCTAACTAGTCTTGGTCATCCTAAGAATGAAGATCTATTAATGCAAGTTGTTAAGGGAGACATTCCGCCGGTGAGATTGGTGATGATGTCCGCGGAGGATTTGGCTAATCCTGAACAAAAATCATTGATGGTCAAGGTACGCAGGGAAAGTATGCAACAGTCGGTTTTGAAAGCTGAGGACATAAACGGACCGAGGATAAAGAAGACGCATAAGGGTGAATTTATAATTGTCGAAGTTGGACGAGATTCTCCTAAACATGATGCGCCGGATACCAATTCAACGGTAACATCCACTCACCCCACATTTAATACTCCGAACGTAAGACCGAAAATAAATGTCGAAGATTTGATTCCTAAACGGCGGACCAGTGCCACCGATGGCACAAATTCCGCGAATAGTGAAAATTCTTCAAAGGATGATTTGTTCTATCGTAGCGTCGATGAAACGAGCACCTCAACAAATAGTTTCTCTCAGATCACGCCACAAAACGATGACTCGTGGAATAACACAAAGGGTGGTGGTAACGATGTCGTGATGAATAACGCCGAGGTGACCGGTAGTCCTGTGGCGATGTCCGTGGGATCTTCGGTGAACTCGCCGCCGCTTTCTCCTCAAGCAAAATCAATAATTTCCCCCACCATGAGTCCTTCGAACACCCCGACTGAGGAACCGCCCAGCAATCCAGTGATTAAGTTGCCTCCAATCTGGAAGGGTAGATTGTTATATGATGGGGTCGCCAGATTTTCTGGTCATGCAACCCTGGTCGCCGCAAAAAAGCGAGACAGGGAACGAAATTGGGAGGAATTCCTCGCGGCATCCATCAGGTGCAATGGTCATGTTTCACGGGTGGAACAAGCGGACACGTATTTGATTGATTGTTGGTGTTCACCTTCCAAAGATGTTGCGTTCATCAAGTTCGAGGCTAACGAAGATGAAGCTAATGATAAGGAACAGTTTGATTTGATTTTTAATTATTTACGTTATTCTCCCAAAGATAGAGTGGTGCGTTATGGTCGGGTTGCAAACGCCTATAGTACCGTTAGAGAAATGTACCTTATACCATTAGAACCCGAAGATAAAGTTCCTGACGTTATTACCTTTCTAGATCATGATGAGATATTTATGACAAAAAATAATGAAAAACGTGAATCAAAATTATTGTTGGGTGCAATTGTTATCATTGATGTTGTGTCTTCCAAATCGAAACGTCCACGTGATTTAACCCAGAACATTTCGCGACCAATGAAAAAAGAGAAGTTAGAATCTTCTACTGTTGCCACCACTGTTCCCACTACCATTGCTACTACTGCTGTTACTAATCAATCGAACATTAGAAATAGTCCATTGGTTGGTAACGCTGTAGTACAAAGTCCAATTGTGGCACCTCAAAATATTGCGAGCACGATAATAGCACCACCAGTGAATTCGCCGCCGAATCAACAGGCACCTACGAACCTGCCAGCGGTCACAACTGCGCAAAACGGAATCCTTCCCGGATTGCTACAAACGCTACTAGCTCAGTCCAATTCGACCGTTCCTAATCAGACCGCACCACCGACGGTGCCATTTCCACATCCGCCTCCTCAATTCAATGGTCCACCACCACCACCACCAACGCCAAATCAGAATGGACTACCTGCGCCTTTCGGTATTCCCCCCCCGCAGCAGCAACAGCAGCAGCCGCAGTTAAACATCCCACCACCACCTGCCCAATTCCCTACACATTTTCCGACCGCAACACCGCCGCCAAACGGGCATCCTGGTCAACCCCCGTTCATTCCACCACCACCACCACCTCAACACAATATACAAGGTCCACCCGCTCAACCGGGCTTACCACAACTTCCACCGCAGGCACAGATGCCACCAGGATTTCCCCTTCAGTACGAGCAATTCTATCAACACCTTCCACCCCCAAACTTTCCCCAACAGGGTCCCCCTCCCCAGCAACCACCAGTTGGACCACCGCAGGCGCCGCCACCGCAACCACAAACTTTACCACCGTATGGACCACCTCCAAACAACGAATACGTGCATTTTCAACCACCTCCGTCGGACAATCGACGACCTCCTGGCACGCAAGATTTCAGACCCAAGTGGGGCCCACCACCGGAAAATCGACCACCGTGGGATCAAGGTGGAAATAGTAATAACAATAACAACAATAATAACAATAATAGTGGTGTTAATAACGACAATAGACAATCTACGTGGGACTGGGAGTCAAATAATAACAGGCCGTCGATGGATCATTCGAATCGACACCACGAGAACAGAGCTCAGTGGGAACAAGAGGACAGGAGGAATTGGAATCAGAATGACTCCAGACCACCGAGGGAACGTGAATACCGAAGGGGACCGTCGCCACCACATTCAGATTACCGTGATCGAAAGCATCGGGGTCATTCGCATAATCGCGATCTCCGTGGCAGACGTGGGAACAACAGTCCCCGGGGCGGGCGTAACATTAACGTAACCGCGGGACAAAGCAATGATCGTGACTGGAATGACCATGATCGAAATGATTGGGGAGAACGTGATAGGGACGATAGGGATGATGGTCGATATGAGCGTAACAACCGGGAACATCATTACAATGAGACGACCGATAGGATGAATGACCGAGGTGGAAAATCCAGGAGAGGTGGTGGCGGAGGAAGGTTCCGAGGGACGAGAGCCTGAATTAAATGTAACACGACACAGATGTAAAAAAAGATCATCATGTTTTTCTTTTCTTTCTTTCCTTTTTTTTTTTTTCTCTAATTGCCTTTTTTTATCCATATATATTTTGAGACTCCTAGTTAGAGGTATTTAAGTATAGTGTAGTTAGTCGCTAGTAGAATTTTAGGCTCAAAAAAAAAAAAATAATAATTCTGTATATAGTTTATGCTTAGTCTAAGTTTTAGGCTGAAAAAAAAAAAATAAATAAAAAAATCAAAAATCTTATTTCTTAATTGTTTCCGGTGCCCACTCACCCAAATTATGATTTGTTTATCACGTGATTACTAACCGTTTAATTGACATACGTGCATACGTGTACGTGTATCAGGAACCTTGACGAGAGGTGAAAGTATTTGGCGCCCCTTGTACACCGTGCGTCAGTCACCCTTGCGACGTACGAGGTATTCAGTCAGGTCTTTATTGTTCGGTAAAAGACTGCTTGCTCATCTCATGCTGAAAAGTAAAAATATGCTAGCATTGAAATTCATGTGTCATAAAGCGATACATGCGGAACAAGCATGTTGGCTGATTGTTCATTATCAAACCGACTTTTCTCACAGAGCAGTCAAACCCGTCTTTCCTTTTTGGGACAGGTTTGACCGCTCAGGATTTGAAGATCCTATTTATTGTTTTATTTTTTGAGGATCCTTGTTAATCAGATGACCAGTTCGACTTGAAACCTACTTTCATTAAACTTATATAAATTTAATAATCTGTCAATCATAATATTTTATAATAAAAATAAAAATTTTGTTTTTCAAGGTAAAATTTGGGTTTATCAGAGTACAGATTAATTGTCAAACCGTTTCAAGTTTTGAACCAGTCCAACCGGTTTCTCATTATGAGGACCATGCCAAATGCGATACACGATGTGTCCAAAGCTTGCATAGGCGGATTCATTGAGAATGTATGCATACATTAAATTTGCTTTAAGTCAGATATAATTCGTTAGGGACTCCTCTCGCGGATAAAAAAAAAAAAGTGTTGGCGTAACTGCAGATGCAATACCGCCCGGGAAGCCCAAGTTGTATAATGTAGGTTTCGATGCCACAATGCAAACTGGAATTCCGAGAGCAATGTACAGTGTAATTCACCATACATTGAGAAACTTCGCATTGACGTTTGAGCTTACGTTCTTATACCGAAAAACCAAAAAGAAAAAGATCGATACGATGGCTTTACTGTTTATTCGGCAAATTATTTTCAGTCGATCAACAGCAAGAAATACTGTAATTTATTGATCTCAATCCTCAATAGCTGTGATTAAAATTATAATCTACTCTTATTATGAATTTTCCACGGTTCCAAAAAGCGACATGTTCTGACCTCCGGGCTTGCGGTGATGGCTTTTTAATTTCACATTCTTTACAGTAAACGAACTAGTGAAAAGTGTTTTATCTAGCTGCTCCAGTACATTATTTTAATTTACAAAAAAAAAAAAAAAAAAAAAAGATAAGATTTCCCCATAGCCTCAACCGCCAAACAATTATGTCAATCGAACGAGAAATCGTGAATGATCTTTTTTCTCTTTGTCACCTCCAACTCTTCATTCATAGAAGAAATTCCGTCCACCCTCAACGTAACCTCTTTCATTTTATTCCATGAGTTGACAAGCTCTTGTTCCAGATGTTTATTTCTTTTATACAGATCATCAATTGTCATGCCGTCTCGTTTGGCTTCCTCCTTTCCTGTAGTGTTGTTATGTTGATCTCTTAATTTCACATTGAGATTTGCCAATAAATTGTTCTGCGAGACGAGTTCACTAATCCGACATTTTAGATCCCTTATCTTTTTCTCGTAACTCTCAATTAACAATCCGTCACTCGACGTCGGACTGCCAAATGAATTTCGTTTGTTATTGAGACCCGTGTTCCCCGTGTATTTTGACGAATTCATCTCGAAAGCTCGAGTATCTGAAGGCCTATCTCGATTTTTCGATTTGACCGATTCCTCAACATTCATATTACTTCCCGCCAACGTGTTTACTTTCTCGAGAGACTGAATCCTTTTTGTCAAAAGAGCTATATCTCGATCTTTGGCTTCGTTATCAAGTCTCAATTTCTTGATTTCCAAATGATATGCAGAATTTTGCGACGTCAGAAACTTTACATTATTTTTCAATGACTCGAATTCCACTTGAGTCGCAGAGTGAATCTGAGATTCCAAATATTTATTCTCCTCTTGCAGAGATCTGGTCAATGTCATTTCATTTTGCAGATCCTGTATGTGATGTTCAGAAGTCCTACGTAAGTAACGGATCTCTTTTTGAGACGCAAACAACCTCCTATCTTGACGATGCATATGATCCGAGATAATTGCGATTAGTTCGTTGGTACTGATCTCTCGATGCTTTGGCGTCAAGGTTCGATCATTATTTACGGGAGTCGCATCATTATTAGAGTCGCTAGTCACCGTGGCAGGTGATGGCGTTGTCGGTGATGGTGATTTTTCAAAAACACTGATTTGGTTGGTTGGCGTTTCGTTCGACGCTCGCAGACGACTGATGATTACATCGTCGCCCGCGTTCTGAAATATACCGATTCCACCGTGCCTAATTGAATTAGGAGATTTCCAAAATTCAATCTCATCTTGAACATTATTATCCTTCCCTGAACCAGCATCTGATTTATTGATGTCCGTTAGTGAGATGCTCGCGTCTTTTGACGTTGATGAAGAAGATTCTACTTACCGATTACCCCCAATCGTTGAAGCCTCTTTATGGCATCCGCCTCCCATTCCTGGTAATTACATTTTTCGCATTTCAGTAAAACTTTCCCCCAACTTTCAGGTTTTTCCGATGTCTGCCTAAGCGGTGCCCTTTCGCACTTGCAAGTCAGAAATTGTTCAAGCGCAGGATCGTTTTCTGAAGATTCCATCAGACTGTTCAAAGGAATTAATCAAAATTTATTTATCGCAAATGATGAGAAATAGAATATTATCGTGGTCACCAAACCGAAGTACTACGTTTCTTCTTTTGTTCGACGACTGGAATAAGAGGGAATCCATAAAAAATGAAAGTAAATGGCGTATATATAGATACGTGCATGTAATGACACGTTTTTTTTTTTTTTTTTTTTCTTTTTTGGAAAAAATGGAAAGATAGACTAATGTGACGTATTATGCGTGCGTGAGCACTTCTGTTTATATCGAAATACGTGAGATCACGTGAAAGGACGATACGTAATTACGAGGGTTTCACTACATAAAATAGTAGACAATGTAGTAATAACATAACGGATACTTTGCCATATTAATTCGGGTGAAGAATTTAAATTATAAACCCTTGAATTCAAATTTCGTTTCTTTAATTTATCGAACAAAACCGGGGTTGCATGTCAAAGATGATTACGCGAAATTTTAGACCGCGCGAAATTGGTTACGCAAGATTTGGATGACGCGAAATTTTTGTTACACGAGCGTGATGGTCGATGTTAACTATGTTAGGAATTATCCCACGATTGAGCAAATTGGTTTTTTTCACATAGTACGATTTTTAACACACCTTCGTCTCGTTTATCCTGTTTCGTCCCTGCACCTTTTGATAGATGTCCTTGACCGTTTTTGTACCCTTATTATTGGCGATTAACAGACTTATAAATATATCAAGCCAAACGAGGCACAGTGATGATGCACTGATCCGTTTAACATGCACTTTTCGTAATTTTAAACTAACCAAATTCTTATTCTTATAAATGAATGCGTTGTCTAATAACCAAGGTTCCAACATTTAGTCTTAGTACACCGCATACTCGCGATTAACGAATTCTTTTGGAAAATCAATCGTTAAAAATCCATGGTTGACCAATTCCGGTTAATTATGCTAAAAAGTGAATTAAGCTATATGAATTAAAGATACATAGTACTTTACAATAGTTGTCTTTAATTTTTCAAATCATAATTTTTATTTATTTATTTATTTATTTATTATTATTATTATTATTATTATTTATTATTTTTATTATTTTTTTTTATGAAAGAAATCTCTATATCAATTGTTTCTTGAAAATCATTATGTGTAAAAATTGGAATTTCAATAAATTAAATTATTGATCAAGTGTTGAATACCTCGCTGGTTTTTTTTTTTAAAAAAAATATCGAACGATTTTTTCCTGTTGATATTTCAAACGCTAAAAAATAAAAAAAAAAGTACAAATTAAATCGACAATCAGATATTGTGTATCATACTTGCCATGGAAACCTGAGCGGGCGTAGGGAATGTGGCATGATTAACATCCCCTCAGAAACATCCTCCCTGATTGGGAAATGCGATTTAGGTGGACAAACGAAGCGTTGGCCCGCCCCTTTGACTAACTAAATATGACAGTCACATCTTATTTTGATAATCTTGTATACAGTATCTATTCCCTATAACCAGGATAAGAAACATAATTGCGTGCATACTTCTTTTAGCACAGCACGTACGTAAGCACGTTTTATGTTTATAATAACATTGCATGATGTTCGGCACTGTACCACGTGGCTCATCTTTTATAAGCCCAACTTGATCCAGATGAATAAAAAAAAATTTTTTTTTTTCCCTTAACGTTGCCCTCGGTGCTCCGTCTTCACGTCGTTTCTTTTTTTTTCTTTTTTTTCTGGATGGGTTAGATTATTGATAAGTTTTTAAAATCAAAGTGATAGTTGTCAATTAACATTCTAATACCCGAGAATTGCAAGAATGTCACCCCCATTCACTGAAACCTCTCAAGGATTCCCCATTCCCACCAAGGAAAACGACAATCCGGATCGTCGACATCCGCTATATGTAGGTGATTGGAAGAAATCTATTCCATACATTGATGAAGATATCGCTCTTGATGATCTCGATGAACCCCATATGAAGCGCAAAATCGCCATCCTCCGTAATCATCCTGAAATTGAAAAATTATACGGGCATGACATCTCCACGATACCCATTACCATTTTTGCCGCTGCTGCTCAGATTGCGGCATCATATGTATTTGGTCAAATTTTGATCGATTGGAATTGGACAATGGTATTGTATTGTTACGTTTTTGGAGCTTCGCTGACTCAACTTTACGGTGTAATTATCCACGAGGCGACCCATTGTTTGGCTGCTCCCACAAGGTTTCAAAATAGAATTGTGGGATTGATAGCTAATCTCGCATTGCCATTTCCAATTGCAATGTCATTTCGCCGATACCACTTAGAACACCATACATTTCAAGGGGTGATTGGGTTAGATCCGGATCTACCATTGGATTGGGAAAAAAAACTCATCAGGGGTAACGGGTTTCTGAAATTTTTATGGCTGAATATTTATCCTGTGATGTATGTCGTCCGAGGATTAATGATGCAAAGGAATCCGCAATTTTGGGAGTATGTAAACTGGGCGTTTACCATAACTGTAGACTTGTTGGTATATTATTTTTGCGGTCCGCGAGGATTGTTTTATCTATTCTTATCGCTTTGGCTTGGATATGGTGTGCATCCTGCAGCGGCTCATTTTATTCAAGAACACTATACATTTGATGACGGCCAAGAAACTTATTCCTATTACGGGATTCTTAATTATTTATTCATGAACATTGGCTATCATAACGAACATCATGATTTCACAAAGGTAAGAGGCTTCAAATTTATTGAGGAATGAAAAAGGTGATTAATTTAACACTTGTCTCATTATTAATTACCACGTACCTACCTCCACTTTTATTTGAATAAGGTTCCATGGTCAAGGTACGCAAAACTTGAGCTTTTCTGATTCTAATTCATCATTCTATTCTTGCTATAATTCTCAACTAATCCATAAATACGTAGGTTGCCAGAAGTTCGAAAAATAGCCTCGGAATATTACGACAATCTTGCCTACCATACATCGTGGTTTATGGTGCACTGGAATTTTGTAACCAAACAACAGTTTGGTCCACAAAGTCGCGTAGGCCGATCGGTAGAGGATCATAAAAAAGGACGCAAAATGTTAGGAAAAATAAGAAAATTGTTGAACCAGTGAATGCTAAAAAAGAAGATTAAATCAAAATTGCAGAAAGGTATCGAGCATGCTCGTATTCACTGACGGGAATATATTAATCGCTTGAGAATATGAAATTTGCAGGACCAGATTCATAAAATAAAATGTTCGAATAAGAGTAATACTTGGATATCTTGCAATTTCGCATGTGCGATATACAGTAACTATACATATTTAATTTACAATTTTTTAATAAAAAAGATAATTTAAGATGAATTCGATTTCTTGATTAGATTTTTCAAGTTATAGAAATACACATTCAACGTGGCATAATTGGATATTTGACTTGACTTACAGTATTTAAAACTCTTTACAAACTTTCGAGGGGGCTGTGATCAATTGATCATTTTGACTGGTTGCTTGTGGTTTTAGGTGGCGGATTTACTCTTCGCGAAAAAACGAATGGAACATATTAAAAAAAAAAAAAAAAAAAAATTTTTTTCCAAACTATTGTTTGTTCCCTTGGATATCATAAAACAATTTTACGAGTGAAGGGCATTTGACTTTTGTTCCTGTCTCCCCTTTTAAAGACCTATTTTTAGCTAGAACATTGAAATTTTTTAAATTATTACCAATAAAAAAACTAATCACAATAGTTCTTTATTATCTAAATTATTGATTTATAATATTTTCTAAATTTTGTTCCTATTAAAGTAAAGAGCAATAAATTTTTTTGTGAAATTTTATATGCAAAATACTTTAGGGATCCATCATTAGAATTATCCAAACTGAGTTTATCATATATGACTGAATATCTAGATATTACAATATTTTTATTTTTATTTTTTTGTTTTGTTTATGAATATCTTGTAGAAACTAATAATTAAAAGCTTATTAATTCAGTTTTGGAAATTGATCTATAGTCTAGTTATTTTTTAATTAATCTTATATTTAATTTAATTTTTTTAGTTTACATATTATTTTCTTTTAACTTGCTTATATATTTGATACTTTATAATAATTATATTTTTTTTTTAAACCTCTATCAAGTTAGTTATATGTACTTTATTAAACATTTGTAAACTGTACATATAATATGAATCACTAAAGCTAAAAAATGTTAACTAACCCACTTGTCTTTGTAATTACTACTCTAAGTGCAACTTTGAAAGTAATTTATCACTTCATTAGGAATTCAGGTGAAAATCCTTTCAACTCTTAATATCATTGCCTGCAGGTCACTACTGCAGACTTTATAATAATTATAAATTATACATACAATATATTATTTATATATTTTATTTAAGTTTTTCTTGTTTCAAAATATACAACTATAAAGTTTTATTTTTTTTAATATAAAAAAATCTTTTAATATATAATTTTTATATCACTTAAAACTTTTGCTACTTAGTTTAACTAAGTTTTGTTTATATTCAAAAGTCTTACTAATTTTATATTTCTTTTTAAATGATGTTACTAACTTCTTTATTAATTAATTCTGATCTTAAAAATTGATTTTATTATTTTTATTTTTAGTAATATCATTTAAAATTTTTTTTTAAATTGAATCTTATCTTAAATATCTATATCATTCAAAATATATCTTAATTTTTGTTTTTATTTTTATAGTATATACAGTTACTTCCAAAAGTTTGAGTCCACTTATTATGTTTTTATTATAAATTTTAACTTTGACAATTTTTAAATTCTTAACTATACAACCAAAAATTATAAAATTTATATATATTATATTTTTATACTGGTTTTATTATTCTTTTTTTTCCACTAATCCTCTGACCACATACAAAAAAGATGTTCACAAGAAGTTTTAATACTTCTATGCTAATAAAGTCTTACTACACTCTTTAAACCAACCCAAAGAGTTCTCTCAGAACTCCCTCACTTCCCTCCTCTCTTGTTTACAATCTCCTTTAAACAAACCGAACTCTTGTGGCTTGCAAAGTTCAGCTTCCATCTTTACTACCCATGGCAAGAAAGTTCCTAAAGGAAAAGGGACCAACAGTAAAGTACCTTCCACCTCTTAAGTTACAGTGGAGATAACAGAGATTAAAAACTAGTCAAAGGACTCATTTTTTACCCTTTGCCTGGTGTTGTGATCTCTTAGAGCTATCTTTTTCACAACTTTCTAGGAGATTTTGACTACTCCAGCTTGACCCTGAAATTTTGAGTAGCACGGATCTCGCTGACTCTGATTGGTTGATGCAAAACACGTTGGACAAAATTGATAAACAAGTTCCTATTGGTCACCTCACGTGTCTGAATGCATTTTCTCAGCTCCATAAGAACCTGGGGTCCACCATAAGTCACATTGCTCATGTGAGTGGATACAAGACAAGCTTCCATTACATTATTGAATACAAGAAAGAGACTGTCCGACCATGGCAAAGGTCACAAGATGCTTGATTGTTTGCTTTTAAAAATCAAAGCCACCTACTCCTGATTGCATGTCAGATAGGTTTCTACTTCTACTGCTTGGAAAAGTCCAACCAGAGAAAGTGAAGAAGAGGATCAGAAACACTCAGTGGTAAAGCTAGTGCGCATAGTACATCAAGAAGTTTTCATTCTATCTTCAAAAAATTCCAAGCTGGAAGACTGGAAGATTAACACCACCACACCAATCAAAACTCGAGGTTAAAAACATCAGCAGTGACATGCGAGCCGACCAGATAATCTGGAAGATCCTTGATGATCATTAATATCAACAGCCACCAGCAGGGTATGCCAACCGCGAGGCTAGGTGCAGTCCTTATAAAAGGAATTAAATCTGAAATACGTTGCACAGATGGGTAAGTATATTCATATTCAAATAGGAATGGGTTTAATTGAAGATATACTGGGAAACTTTTCAAGTCATTCATACGAACAACAATATATCACCTGGGCCTTCTTGATTACTCACTCCCCACAAGCCTTAAAATTGTAAAGTCTTCCTCCTCATCTCTACCTTATTTCCGTAAAGACTCAGAAGAAGCCCCCCAGTCCTTTATCAAAAGGGAAATTTAAAACAGGACCGACATATACTGAGAAACATCACAGCTACCTTGTTATAACAGCACATGACTGATCCCTTCTTTTCATTTTTCATTTTAACTTTAATAACACCCGTATGCTCAATAAGATGTGAGCTTCTTTGAAAAAAGAGGGCAATAAGCCTCAAAGTAGTTTTAACTTATCGAATTCTTTATTTATCCCTGAATATACACCCCTGTACATGCACATTGTGCAATTGTATAAATGAAATTTGAAACTTAATAAAGATTAGACATGAGCCCGTTTAACAAAAAAAAAAAAAATACTGGTTTTATTTATTATATTTTTTTCAAAAATTTTTGATATGTAATTTTTAAAGTTTTATTATTGTTAAAAAATTTCTTTCTTTATTAAATTTTTACTTTTGAAAGATTTTGATTGACTGTTATCATAAATCATATGATATTAATAAAAAAATAAAGATATTTGGCAATAATAAAACTCTAGAATGTATTAATAAATTTTTTTTTAAAAAAATATAAAAAGTAGAATAAGTATTAAGACTTAATATATAGAAATTTTATAATTTTTGATTGTATAGTTAATGATTTAAAAATTATCAAAGTTGAAATTTATAATAAAAATATAAAAGTAGACTCAAACTTTTGGAAACAACCATATATCAAAATTTTTAATAATTTTAATAAATTTGTTTTTTTATAAAAGATTGATAAAAAAACTTTTTCTTTTAATTTTTTTATTATCAAAGATAAATAATACTATATATTAATTAGATTAATACTTTTTTCTTATATAATATTATTTTTCTATTTTTATTATTTTTGCTAAAATAATATTTATAATAATAAAAATTTTAAATATAGATATTATTATTAAATTATTAATAATATTTTTTCTATAAATATATATTAAAATATTCTTAATTTATTATTTAAATTATGTTTTTTTGATATATTAATAAAAATATTTATAATATTTATAAAAACTCTTTTCGCTGATCTTCTGACCATATATAAAAAAGATGTTTGCAAGAAGTTTTTTGCTTTTTTGCTAAAAAAAGTCTTTAATACTTTTCTTAAAACACTTTGAAGAATGACTTCAAGAGTCATCTCTACCCCTCTTTATTTGTTTACAACTCTTTTTGATCAAAAACTTAACTTCTAGTGACTAAGAATAAGTTAAGTAATATCTTTGATACCAATGATAAAAAAGTTCCCAAAAGAAAAAGAATTAATAGTAAAATATATGAAAACTTTCTTCATCTTTGAAGTGAGAGAAATATAGAGGTTTTTGATGACAAAAGGGCTTATTTTTTTCCTTCCAGTCACTGTTGAGCCTCTTAGAGCTATCACTTTCATAATTTTCTAAAGAATTTTATTATCTCAGTTTGATCCTGAATTTTGGATAGCCCAAATCCTCATCAAAGGTGATTGGCTGACACAAAATACATTGGTTTCAGAAAAAGTAAACAAGCTCCTATTGGTCCCATTCACATGTCTCAATATATCAGTGATAATGTAGAAAAGAAAGTTCTAAAAAAAGTTTCCCTTCAATCATGTATGTTCAACCTCCAGAAAACAATTATGATACTGAAAGATAAGTGACAGGTAGGAATAGAAGATCCAACTCCTATCTCTCATTAAGTTTCTCAGATGGTGAAAAGGCTTTCTTGAATAAAAGCTGAGGTTTTCAAGCTTTTATTCCAATTAGGCAAAGTTCTTGAAAAGATTTCTTTATCCTGATTAAATAAACTTTTTCATAATATAATGCTGGCTTCACTAGCAATAAATGAATTCATACACAGAAGAAGGATAAGTTCCTCAAACATTCTTCTTGAAATCACTTTCAGGAATAGCTAAGTTTCTCAAATGTCATGAAGCTTAGAGAATATCCCAATCAGGCAAACCCCTTTCAAGAAGAAACTGTAAAATGGAGCAAGAACCTTTTGGAGAGTTTTGATTTGCATTCTCTTTCCCTTTTTCCCAATGCCAACTTTAGCAATTCATTATTTTTGGGAATAATCTATAGTGACAAACTGTTGGCAATGATCCTGGTTGACTTAGAGGCATTATGTCTTGCTACTAAAAGAATGAAATATTGTCTCCTAAATCTGACTTAGAGTATCTAGTTTAAACTTAGTTTTGTTTAGTTTGAACTAGCTTAGTGGACTTTTCATATTTTTTAAGTAGTATAGTCCTTTAACTAATAATGTACAATGATAAGTTAGTCCCTTTGTATTTTTTTTTATAAAAAACTCTTTCCGCTGATCCTCCTTTTTCCTAAAAATTTCCTTTTTTGGCAATTTTTTTTAAAAAGCAAACCTGGTCAAACACACAAGGAAAAACAACATATCTTTCAAATCAAGCTACCAAGCTTTGGTAACACACATACAACAA